AATAAAAATTACAATTTGGATATATATATAAAATATATACGTAAAAGTTAAAAATCAGCAACATGTCGAATTAAGTTATATTTTAAAACTATTGGTAAGTAAACTGTTAACTTGTAAAAGAAGAAATTAAGTATTGATTTAACTTGTAAAAAAGTACTTGAAAAGGCCATACCTTAACTTGCGGGCTAACAAGATAAAGTAAAGGATTTGCTCGCAATTTTTCACGTTCTTCGTTCATCCTTCGGACTTCCTCCCGTCGCATTGATCCTAAATATGACACCTCTTCCCTCGACATTGGTTCTGTGGCTTTTGGTAGCGTTTGAACATCAGGTAACGACTTCTTCCTTTGCAGCGAAGTCTGCTCGACGATAGTCTAAAAGGAAAATAATAAACACCGTTTACTTTTTATATCATACAGACAGATCAATGAAAGGCAGACAGCAGATGTAAATGTCTTTGAAGCGTAATTATTATCAGACCAAAGTTATTGGCACAAATTACAAAACAGCCCGCTGATGTTTACTGTTTGGCGCATTTCACAGAATTAAATTTTTGTATATCGGCAAGTTAAAAAAGAAAAAAAATATCTTCAGACAAAAATAAGTATCGGATGTAAACATTTCTTCAATAACGAAACACTTGTAAAACAGAACTTTAAACTGTGAAGTTATCACTTAATGAAGGAAGATGCCTATGAAGGAAATTTGTGAGTGAAAGAAGTTGAATAGTCCATGCCTCAACTGGAGGAGTATCTATCCAGGATTCAGAAGCACGCCGCGCCAATAGAGCGGGTGACAACAAAATGTCCTCATCGTCGTCTTCTTGGTACCACAGCATGACAAATCGGAGCGACAAACGGGTTAGAACTGCATGCCAGCTAATGTATATTTAACGGCAGCTCAGGGAAAACAAAATTAGATTTCCCCCACTTGAACAATACAAGGCATCTCAATACCGATAAAACTGTCGACAACCGAGCGACCGACAGTTCGTCCGTTTGGAAATTGCGGAGGTTGGAATTTCTTACTCGTGGATATTTCAAAAAAATTTCATACAAACTGACTCATAATCGGTCAGGAATCTAACTGTGTATGAGTACAAGAACATTTTCCCAATTTTTGACCGCCTTCCTTCCATCCCCAAGGAAAAATAAATTAATAAGGGACTACCCCATTTCCACACCAAAAAAGACAGGAATTTTATTAACGTTTCGCTAACATGAGTGGCGAGCATCTTCAGAGATCCTTCCATCTCCGACACATCCACATGTATCAGTACTAGCAAAACAACCTACGAGGGCCTTTAGACCCGAATCAAAACAGCAGCAGTTCACCTACTGGCCGCAAAAGCTTTCACCAATTGGATCCTTTTCACACGAGCTACATTTTGTATCGCTTTCGTTGCGCTACAGTAGCGCGACAGTTGCTAGTTTTCATGTATAAAGAGCGATTTTTTGCAGCGCTTCGATATTGTAGCCGATATAGTAACGTATCTACTTCACATTTAAAGAAGCAGTTATTAAAAAGAAGTCGCAGAAGAAAGATCAAAAGGAGCTTACTTTATTAGCGCTTCT